TGAGGCAACAATTGTGTATAAGATGCGGGCAACATCACTCCCCGGAGAACGGTTGCAAAAACGAAGTTAGATGCGTTAACTGTGAACCAAATCATTATTCTGGTCATTCATCCTGTCCTGTAGTACAGCAAAAACGTAAGTCTATTCAAAGTCAACAGAAAATGCTACGTGCTCAATTGCTAATTCAATACTAACAATCTTTCCAATATAATGATACAACTTTTCCACCACTATCGCCTCGCTTTACTAGCCAAGTAGTAAATCCACATGTAAATCTAACAGAAACTATGATCAACAAAATAATAAGCATTCATATGCATCAGATGTCGCACAGAAAAACAAGATCAATCTCGAAAATGTCGAACAATTAATCATGGGTTGAGTGTGGGTGTGGGGTGTGGATGTGGGTGTGAAGTGTGGGTGTGGGTGTGGGATGTGGGTGTGGGTGGGTGTGGGTGTGGGTGTGAGTGACCGTAAGAAGAGAAGAGCTGCGCCCATACCCACACCCCACACCCACCCACACCCACACGCACACCCATACTCACACACCCACACCCACACCCACACACCCACCCACACCCACACCCACCCCCACACCCCCACACACACTCACACCCACACCCCCACACACACCCACATCCACACCCCACACCCACACCCACACCCCACACCCACACCCACACTCACACCCAATATACATATTTCCTTTGTTTTCCTTGGTATGATGTCGTCTGCTTCTGTTGATAATGGTATTGGAAATGCATCGGGCACTTTTCTTTTTTTGTTTTTTTTTTTCTTACATCGGTGTCTAATATTCTATTCTTCACTGACGGAAAAGGTCAGAAGAAAAAAAACGAGCATATATATATATTTATTTATTTTTCGAAGAGTGTCAGTCATAATCAAACATGAATCATTCAAACATTGATCTTCTTGATCTATCCAATGAAATATTACTTATTATCTTGAAGAAACTCGACAATATTGATGTTCTTTATTAGTTATGTGGTATTAATAATGAACGATTTGATATTTTACTACAAGATGATATATTTATTAACACTCTTAATCTTCTGTCAATATCATCAACAATTGATCATTTAAAGCTTGATCGATTCTGTATTTATATATTACCTCGAATTTGTTACTTTGTCAAAAAATTCATTATCGAAACAATATCTATGGAACGTATTCTTCTTGCTGGTAATTATTCAAAATTGACTTATTTAGAACTTTTCAATTTTAAACAAGATATAATTTACCGTTATTTTACATGTAAGCACTTAATATTCTCTTGATTAATCATAATATCAAAAAAAAAATAAAAGCATTTATAATTACAATCTTATTTTTTTTTCTTTGTTGTTTAGATGCTCCAGCTGTTCAACATATCTTTAAACACAAAATAACAGACCTTATTCTTCATAATAATGATAAATATACCAGAAAGACATTGACGCGGGTTTATACTAGAAAAGTGTATGCTCAGATTTTGGTTTTTTTCCAAAATTTAAAGAATTTAACTATTGTTGCATCATCTGAGAATGATTATCCACCTTTGTCAATTTATGATCTACCATCAAGTACTTTTTACTCTTCGACTATTGCTCTATTACAAATTAATGTGTATAATTTTCATGATTGTATTTCTTTACTTGATGGCCGTCTTGAACAACTAACTACGTTCGTCGTTAGAGTGCATCGTATTAGAAAGTTATTTTCAGTCTCTAACAATATGGTGAGTTCATTCTATGTTGTTTTACTGTTGATTCAAGCTAAGGAATAATGTCGATGACGAAGTACAGTTAATATTGATTTCAATGCATTCTGTGATTATTCAAATAGTGAATAGAATATAATAATTTTGATATAATGAAACTATTAGAAATATCTAATTATTCGTGGTTTCTTGTTATTCGAAATTGTTTGGTAATTAATTTTAATCACTCAGCAGGAATAATTAATTAAATACCCGCAAAATAAACATTTTGACTATTACAACAAAGAATAGATTATCTAGTATTTAATAATTAACTTTTGACTTTGAAATATTCAAGAAATAAACCAGATGGATAAATTGTCTTCTAACAATTATACACATTCAGGTCTCATCCTTCAAAAATCGATTTTTGATACAGTAAATGGGATTTTCATAAAACTTTCTAAAGATATTTGGCTAATGAAAAGTAATACATCAACAAAACAAAAATTTCACAGCTACAAATTTTACCATTCAGAAGATTTTCAGAAGCTATGGTACAAAATAGGCCTTTTATAAGGCGTGTAGATATTCTTTTTCAGTTCACTTCAAGCTACATAGTTCGGGCTACTCATTTGAAAGAATACTTCTTAGTGTTTCAAATGTGGCAAAAGATTTTTAATATTTTTTAAGTTCTTTTTTGGGATGCTCGAAATCTCAAAACTTTAAAAATTTTAGGCAGACTTTTCCTAGAAAGTCTATGATTACTTTGATATTAAGGGTCGAGTACG